GGTTGAAAAAGACCATTGTGTCCATCTGCAAACCTTACACTGCTGAGGCCACCACTAAACCTTGTCCCAAAGTGCAGTTCTCAGATTTTGCAGTTTAGTGGTCAGTGGAAGAATGGAATCACTAAACTGAAGTAAATTACTTGGTTTTGTATTGAGAGAATGATTTTTCCTTGAAACACCGAATGACTAAGTGTTTCATGCTGCTTGATGAAGGTCTCACATATGCATCAGCTACCAGACCATCTGCTTTTCACCTCATGGAAGCATACATAGTACAAAAGGATAGAAAATCTTGGGGTATCCCATACACAGATAAGAAATTCACCAGTTTAAGTGTAGGAATTTTCTGTTAGTGTTACTGCAAAAAAATTTTCCTTGGTATCTATTTAAGCCCTTTTTATAGTCCACTAATGATCCCAGCAGATCTTCTGGGGGATTATGTGTACCTCTGAATTTATACCAAGGTTTATATCCCATAATTATGTGACTGACTTTAGGCCTTTTCTTCATGATTTTTTATAACTCTGACTTAATTATGAGAATATTCCAATTTTGTTGCTACTGAACATTTTTCTGGCATTTTAAAAGATTTTACTAATATTTTCATTGGATTATTCATGTGATTCATTATATTCAGCAGAAGAAAAAGGCAAAGATGCCAAATCTCAAATAAAGCCAGGTGTTATTGTAACACAAAGCTTTAGGCTCTATTATTTATGCAAAATGCAAGCTGTCTCACTGGCCCCTAGTTACACAGAACAGGTGCACACTTTGTTTTGAAGTTCTTGATTTTTGGTATGGAACTACTAGAGTTTTCTGCTGTTGAGGTTAAGGCCCAATTCTGGTTCTTTTATATCATGTATAAAAGTATATATTTATATATATATAGTATTTATTGCTCAAAGAGCAATACGTCCTATTGATACTGAGTAACAGCAATTCTGTCTAGTTGATGCTATTTTAAGAAAACCATAGGAAAAAGTCTAAGGGGCATAAAAGTATTAGAAAATAGATAATTTATTACTACTGAAGATTTTCATCAGCTCTAGATTCATAGCTTATATCCGTAAGCAGGTGGAAAGCCTGTGGGTAGGAGTAGAGACTGAGGCAGCAAAGGGAACCCTGTGGCTGGGGTCTGCTACAGCCTCCTGATCAAGGGGAGCCCATTGAGCAAACCTTCCTGCTCCAGCCACAGGAGGCATTGAGCCCGCAGGATCTTGTCCTGCAGGGGCAGCTCGACCACCCCAGCAGCTGTTGGGAAAGTAGCTTGGAGGCCTGTAGGCAATCTAGGAGACTCCTGGAGTGTGTGGAGGATAATATCCTGACCCAGGTGACAGACAGCCCTGCTGAGGGAATGTGTTACAGGCTGTGTTGGTCACCAGTGCAGGTGAGCTAACTGGGACACCAAGACTGGAGGCAGCCTGGGCTGCAGGGGTCGTGCATTTGGGAAGTGTGCAGGGCTGAGGGATCAGGGGTCAGGCAAGGAGTAAAAGTCTGGCTCTTGAACTTTAGGAAAGCAGAATTTCAGTCCTCTGGGAACCTAGTCAGGGGGATCCCCTGACAGGCTGCCCTCAGGGACAAGGGAGTAGAAGAGAGCCGGCAGATCTTTAAGGAACTCTTCCATAGAGCACAAGAGCTGGCGATCCCCAGGAGCAGGAAATCAGACAAGGAGGGCAAGAGACCAGCATGGCTGAGTAGGAACTTGCTGGTCTGAATTAAGGGGAAGAAACAAGTGCACAGGCAGTGGAAACCAGGACAGGTGACCCAGGAAGAGTTTTAGAGATGAAGCACCGTTGTGTAGGGAAGGCATGAGAAAGACCAAGGCGACAAAACTGGAACTGAAGCTGGCAAGGGACACAAAGAATAACAGGAAGGGCTTCTACAGGTACGTTAACCACAAAAGGAAGGTCAAAGAAGGGGGACCCCCTCTGATAAACAACACTGGAAAACTGAAGAATGGGTAACAACAGACAAAGAGGAGGCTGAGGCACTCAACTTTTGCCTTAGTCTTCAATGGGAAACTCTTTCCACACCTCTTGGCTGGGTGGCTAGCAGGATGAGGACTGGGAGAGCAAAGTCCCTCCCACTGTAAAAGACAATGAGGTTGGTGACCACCTGAGGAACCTGAATGTACCCAAGGAGATGCATCCCAGAGTCCTGAGGGAACTGGCTGATGTAGTTGCCAAGCCAGTCTCCATGGCATTTGGAAAGTCACAGCACTCAGGGCAAGTCCCGGGTGACTGGAAAAGGGGAAACGTGGTACTCATCTTTAAGGAGGGTAGAAAGGAGGACCCTGGGACCCTGCTGACCTGTCAGCCTCACTTCTGTGCCTGGGAAGATGATGGAACAGAAACTCCTGGAGGCTGTGCTAAGGCCCATGGAGGACAGGCAGGTGACTTAGGACAGCCAGCATGGCTGCAGGAAGGGCAAGTCCTGTCTGACCAAGCCAGTGGCTTTCTATGATGGGGTGACAGCATCAGTGGGTAAGGGAAGGGTTACAAATACCATTTCACTGGACTTCTGTAAAGCCTTTGACACTGTCTACTACAATATTCTGTCCAAACTGGAGACAGGGATTTGAACTGTTAGGTGGATTACGAATTGGTTGGAGGGTCTCATCCAGAGGGTCGTGGTCAATGGCTCAGTCCCAATGGATATCAGCAACAAGTGGTCCCTCAGGGGCCTGTACTGGCACAAGTGTGATTTAGTATCTTCATTAATGACACAGACAGAAGGATCAAGTGCACCCTCAGCAAAATTTGCAATGACACCAAGCTGAATGCACTTGATGCCACCAGTGGGACTTGGACAAGCTCTAGGTGAGGACCCATGGAATTCCCATGAGGTCTGACGAGACCAAGTGCAAGATGCTGCACCTGTGTCAGAGCAGCCCTGGTACCAGCCCAGGCTGGGGGATGGACAGATCACAGCAGCCCTGCCCAGAGGGGCTTGGGGGTGCTGGTGGGTGAGAGGCTGGACATGACCCAGCCATGGGCACTCCCAGCCCAGAGAGCCAAACGTGTCCTGGGCTGCATCCAGAGCAGCGTGGGCAGCAGGGCCAGGGAGGGAATTCTGCCCCTCTGCTCTGCTCTGCTGAGAGCCCACCTGCAGGGCTGCATCAGCTCTGGGGTCCCTGCACAGGAAGGACATGAACCTGCTGGAGTGAGCCCAGAGGAGGACACCAAGATGATCAGAGGGATGGAGCAGAGGGAAAAGGCTGAGAGATTTGTGATTGTTCAGTCTGGAAAAGAGAAGGCAAGACTATTTACAATGGCATGTAGAGACAGAACAAGGAGGAATGGGTTTAAATAGAAAGAGTGGGTTTATATCAGCAATTAGGAAGGAAATCTATCCTGTGAGGGTGATGAAACACTGGTTGCCCAGCATAACTGTGGATGCCCCAACCCTGCAAGTGTTCAAAGCCATGCTCAACAGGGCTCTGAACAGCCTGGTCTAGTGAAATGTGTCATGTCCCTTGGCAAATGGGTAGGAACTAGATGATCTTCAGGGTGCCCTTGCAACTCAAACCACTCTATGATCAGCCAAAGACCTGTACCAAGAGTTTCTGATCCACTTGAGTGCTGAAAAATCTAAATTACTACCAGGAACTTCCCAATTATCCTTATTATACATGTTTCTGGGCTTCACTGCTAAAATGTATAAAGTACTCTAAGGAGGCAGAAAATACTCAGCAATCTGTGTGATTTACATAGCATTAATGTGCTTTTCTTTGATTTATACTGTGCTATGAGAAACAATTCTTGTTTGTTTTGTCCTTTACAATCATGGCCAAAGTTTTACAGTTCAGTCTCTTCTCAGGATGTATGTTTCTGCACCATTCCCTCACCATCTTCCCACTGGGCCATAATATTAAAGATTATCTACACACCGACCTGCAGTTTCCATAAGACAACAGTAATTTCTGCAACAATTAATTTTTTCATGTTTGAATAGTTTTTACATCACAGTTGAAAACTAATTAAATAGCAAACACTGCAGGATTAGGACTTCAGAAAGTAATGTAAATGTTGGTTAAGAACATGTACATTTTTCTTGAGGGCATAAGATTCTTGTCTCTTTTTAGGTGCCAGAGCGAACTCTAGAAGCACATTTCTCACAGAAGCACAAGGTAAATGCTCTTCTTTAACATTTGCTAATAAGCTCTGCTTCACACTGAAGCCTCTTTTTAGTTCTACTAAATTTTAATAGAAAAAATTAGAGGAATTTAGTGTGAAGTAATGCAACATTTTTGGAAAAGCAGCATTTTGTACCATTCTAAAATAGAACAATACTAGTTGGGCATCCAAGGACCATGCAAAGGTCCTGGTGACAGAGAAAGGTTACACTTATTGAAGTATCTTCTCTGTACCAGAGCCATGAGTTACTATGAAAAAAAACATTTTGGAAGTGAAGAAAACTGATAAGAAATTAAAACGCTCAGCATCTTCCATCCTGCCATGTAATCAGAATGTGAAGGGAAGGACAAAAATCACTGACCTGACAAAATCACTGACCTGTACCAAGAAAACTGGGTACACCAACTGGTGGAAGGCTATTGGTCTTCTCTGGCCTAGTTCAGTTGATATGGCTGTGAATTTCTCTTTGCCTCAAGTCCTGGTTTACACAAAGTTGGAAAATGTTTTAATCTATTTTAGAAAATAAACTTGAAATAAAGCTGAACTATTCATTAAGCTAGATGATGGTATTTGCCACAACAGTCTAATAATCAGTATTTCATTTAATACTCATTTGAACAATTCAATCAGTATTTTATGAGTAGGCCAATTTTAAAATAGGCAGTTGCTGGCATTGTTTATTAACAAAAACGTAACTGTATAGCAGACAATTATTGTAGGAGCACAAACACTGGCTACTTTTGCAAGAACTGTTTACTGATGTAAGTAGTGTCCACCTCATTTGTATTTACATTAGTTAACCAGGTATATACAATACCAGCATGTCTGTTATCAATCTTCTACCAAAACAAGAAAGAGGGAGTCTCTGTTCATAGGCACTACTTTATTAGCATCTTAACAAAATATTTGAGAAAATGACAGTAGATAGGGACAATGCTCTCCATAGATGAGTTCAGGTTTACAAGCATTTCTAAAAAACAAACACCATTTTGCTGTACTTATTGTGTTTTCACACTTACACCAAAATTCTCTCTGAACCACATACTTGCGTATGTTGCTGGAACCCACCTGCCATTTGAACTCAGTTTTCAAGCAGTGTGATTTCCCTTGAACTTTATTACCTAGTATTTGTCCACTATGGGGGGGAGTGGAAACTGATGGGGAAGGAAGGTAGTGGGGGAAGGGAAGACAGAGGGAAGGACTAGGGTAGAACAAATGGGAAATACATTTAAAAGCGCAGATAACTGACAGTAAAATATATGTTCTTTGGTTAGCAAGCAGAAAAAAAGGAAAGGACTTGCATACATGATAGATACGCACTAGCATTCTAAAGCAGAAGACAAGAATGTCAAGAGTGTATTCTTTCCCCACTGCCAGATGGAAGGGCTATTATTATAAATGAAAGGCAGCAGTAGTGGATGCCAGGCACTTTTGTTGTGTGCCAGATTCTGAAGTCCAGATGTAAGCAGGTTACCCCTGGGACAGGACAGGCTTCAGCTCCCGCAGCAGAACAGAACCAATCACAGTTTTCTCAGTGTTTATGATGAGCTGTGCTGTAGAGCTCTCCTTCAGCTCCACTGTGACTAGCATCAGTGACCCACTGTGCACAGTCTTAGCTGCAAACCTGGAGGGAAAAGGAAAAATAAAAAAAGAAAATAGAAAAAAACACTGAGAATCTTAAGGTCAAAGACTTCTAATGTTTCTTTCTGCAAGAGTTAAATGAGCTCAAATATAATAAAGTACTTCTAAATTCATTAATGCTTTTCAGGGGATAAACCATAAAACCTCCCATAAATTCTTCAAACATAATTTATGTAAATATTTTTGCATTTTAAAAGGGCAAAGAAGTATCATGCAAAATTTTGTATTTAGTAGTACAAGCTAAATATTATTTAAATATTTTTTTTAATGTAAATACTGATTCTTCAGTTCATCTACAATATTCATACACACTTACAACCTAACTACAGCTGTATAGAATTTTCCAAGGATTTTCATTATTTGGTGCCGCAAAGACAATACAGCTATGTTAAATGTAGTAGAACACATACAAAAAGTCAAACTGTTGTACTTTCTGAGATGTGTCTCCTCTTGTAATCCTAGAAATTAATTCAAACTAGTCAAACTTATAAACATATGAAACAATCAGTTTGAAATGACAGTAACAGCAAGACAGAGTTATTCTATCTGTGAATTTATCTCCAGAACCATAAAAATGTGACCAATATTTTTAAACATTTTATAATTACTGAAAATCCTACAAAAGAAATAAAAAAACTACCAAGCAATCAGACAGACGAAAGTTAGGACTAATGCAGCATTACTAAATTCCAAGACATGAAAAACCCACTAATTACATGGAATTAAAAGCAAAACTAGCCTTTTAAGCACCACAATTGACTGAAAAGCCATTTTAGGCACAATGAACTTCTGTCAATCCTGTTAATTCATTCTGTGGGCAGAGCCAGGCCCAAGAGACAGGAAGCAAGAGGATGGCAACAGCGTCCATCTTTCCATCTTCCACAAGGAACACAACATGCTTCCCACCCCCATTCCACATTTCACCCCCCCCACCTTCTTGGTTACTTCTCTACAACAAAGTTGCTGCACATGGGCTTTTGAAAACACTAACAAGTGTAGAGCAGGTCTGTGACCCCGTCTGACCCCACTTTGCAGGGCCAATCTCCTCTCCTCTTTCTGAATGACACGTGTCTGAATCAGAGCCATCTGCCTCAATTTGCGCAACATCTTCAGTCACAATAGGACCCAGTTAGCCCTGACAACAGCTCACAATACAGAAAAATCAAACTGCTGCGCTGACAGCACGCTGTGGGCTATTCAAGAGCAAACCAACTGGTCAGTGTCTCCTGTCTGACAATCAGCATGGGCCTTGCAAATCGCCTACCCAAGCCCTTGGGGATCTGTTTAATTACCATCAACATAAAGGAGGGAGTTTATCAGGAGATACTCAAAAAACTTCACTCCAGACTTAATTAAAATATTAGCCACTTAAGCAGGAAGCAGGTTCTCTTTAAACGAGAAGTAATTTCTGTCTTTTTTTTTTTTTCTTTTTAAACTAAGCATATCAAAATCTCATAACACATTATACCAATTAAGGAAACATGGGGCACTTTTCTAATGTCACCCATCACAGGTCAATCTATTTCTTTTGTCTGGATTACAGATACATTCAAAGACCTCTCTTTTTAATAAGAGGTTATAAAACAATATTACTAGTACAAAAATTACCTACTTAGCTAGTTATATCAATGATTTCATCTATTTATGCTGCAATGTGGAAGATGACTATTTCTCTTGTTGACTTCGACAGGGGGATAATTATAGAAACAATAGTCTTATTAGTCACTTTATTTACTTAACAGTCGTGTCTTGGGACAACACAGAAGCAGATTATCTCTGAGTACGCACATAAATAGGTTGCTAGTTGGCACTCCTGCTGTGTTTCATAGCCCCAAGGCTTGATTTTACCCTCTTTTATCAAAAGCTGAAAGTGATACAAAGTCAGAGTTCTGGGAAAGCCAAGGTGGTCCAAAGCATGAGAGATGAGTTTTGTGATATTTTCACATGTGAATTTGCAAAATCACTTAGGGGATCAATAGTACTTTTCCATAGCCCTGAACAAACCACATAAAATCAATAAAATGTGAGTTTGCATGTGGTTTGCAAGATGCAAAGGGCCTGAAACTCAGATAATTTTACACTAAGTGTTAATATGCATAACTAGCAGCAGCTAATAAGCTTCTATCAATGGTCATCTATATGAGATCTGGAATTGCTTGGTGAAGGAAGAATTATTTCTACTCGCAACAGGACGACTTATTTCATCATTAAAAAAGAATGTATAGAAGAGAGCCACTCAGTGGGTTTACAGCTGCTTTTGAACTTTGGAAACTAAAATCTGTTCCTTTGAATAGGGAGTATAATCTAGTTTCTAAGGAGAGTTATAAACACACTTGCATAATCTAAAACTGAATACAGTTATAATCAGGATGAAGCAATTTGCGCTAGCAATAAAACCAATTTGTCAGTTATTTAGATGTTTTAAATACACTGTCATTGAAGGATTTAGTTAATAACTGTTTTTTCAACTACATACATGCTGCTGCATGCTAACCCTTACCACAAACACCCGAGGATTTCCAAAAGGTTTGTTGTGTGCAACTAAATACCTTAAAAAGCCACTAAAAAAACCTCTCAGCAGTAAAACATTCATCACTAATAACATGCGTTCAGTCTTAGTGAGAAACTTTTTTTTCTCCATGAGGTCAGTAATAATTTTTTGTTTTGTAGATTAGAAGTTGAATTAAAAACAAACTAAAGTCACCAAATCAAACTAAACTGAAAAAGACAATAAACCAACAAGAAATCATTGCCTTTAATAAGCCTTGAAAACTGCACTGTGATACATTTAAATCTAGGATGAACATCGATTAATTGTAGGTCCAAAAGAATGAATTTATATCGTGGACAAGTCTTAACATAAGACACGAATTATGAGCATGGCTCTGTTGCAACAATGGATACATCCATAAATATAAAATACCCCAAACAAACAAAAAAACAAACTCAAAAAACCAAAGCAAATGAGAATACATCCAGAAAACAGAACCAAATATTAACTAATAGCTTCAAGATGGCTGTTTCTGCAATGATGCAGTATTTAATTCTGTGATAATATTGATTCTAAACCTGATTTTACATCGTTAAAATATTCAGGAACATTTGCAGCTGTTAATATTTTTCCCATTTAAAAAAAATCAAGACAGATTTGAACAAAACAATGTGAGAAATATTTGCATATTCTGACTGTATAATTTTTTTTTGTCAGTTAAATATTCTAAGCATATTTGACATGCAAAAATAGAGTATGAGTTAATACAATATTTTTATATAAATATAGTAACTATCAGTGGATAAGGAAATATACATTTAGAATTACAATCAACATCAATAAAGTACTATATATTTTTAGAAAGTAACTCGGTCTTTCAGGAGTTAAAAATAAGTACATAGTCTCAGTCACTTCCCATGAAAATAAACTTCGTTCATGATAACTATACAGAAAAATTTCATTTGTAGTTGATACAAAGAGAAAACACAGAGTATCAGATACTACAGTGTGACGGCATTTGCCAAACACTGACTTTGCAATGATGACTAGTCTGAATACAGACTGCCAGTAATTTTCTCTTTTTCTGTATATAAAATATAGCTACTATAAGGAGACATATTTGTATGGGGAAAGGTTATGAAAATTTCATGGCAGTGAATATACCGCAGCAGACGAACTCACTTAAAATCTGCTCTTTAAAATTCAGCATTTGAAAAAGTAAATTTACACCTGAACACTCACTATTGGGATATTTACAGCAGAGCAGGGTTTGTTACGCATAATTCAACAGCATTAAAACACATTCTCTCTTGTCCGGTGCTTTTCTTCCTCTCTGACCTTCTATTCAAGCTAAATATTCTTCTTTTTCTGTTCTACTGCTTACCACAAAGAGTGACAAAGGCCCATGGAGGCTAAAACTTTTTTTTTCCTCCCCTCTTTCTTCAAATCTTGTACATGAAGCCTTCAATTACTGCCTGCTGAAGCAGACAGAATCCTATTAGTAAGGAAGACAATCAGAAGATGCAATGCCCTGCCCTAGCTGTAGAAAAATAATTAGTCCAAAGCTGACAAATGTGTAATCAAGTTATGCAATGAATATACTCAAAGGAGAAAAAAATACTGCTGTGAATTAGTCTTCAATTTGTAAATATAATAATGAATAACTACAAAGGACTTTCCAGCATGTCAACTGGTCAACAAAGATACTTACACTTACAGTTTCAGTACTCTGAATCTTCCTATTGCTCTCCTATATACAGATTTCACTTTATAAATAAGAACTCATCTAAAAATTGGCTAAATTACTAATCTACTTGTATTCATTCTCTGGGTAAGGCTTAGAATGTGAAAAGGAAGTATTTGGTTATTAGTTCTGACCTGGGGATAGAGAAAGCTTAATACTAAAACTGTGAGCACAAATATACCAACAAAAAGAAGTAACTTAATCTGGTGATTTTAACATTGGTTGCTACTAATAAAATTTGATTACTATTTACCTTAAAAATCATGTTATGATAGTGTGACTTGCTTTTTTACAGCATATTTAATGCAATTTTAACACTGTCTCTGAACAAATACCTAATTCATTAAAAGAATGTAATTATTTTCCAACATACTCTATTTTTTCAGGAGGTATAAAATAAAAAATTGTAAAATAAATTGCAATCAAATGTACATATTTTTACCATTTTTAATTGTATTGCCAAAATATATTGAGTCTGTCCTCAGTTTCATGTAAGCAGCTGCACTGTACCTCTAACAAAAATGCAGAAATGCAAGTGAGTCACCTGAACTTACTGTTCAATACATACCACTGCTCTACATGTTCAAAAAGATGCTGCATGAACTTTTTATCATCTTCCAAATTTATCATTAATCATTTATCTTAGTTTAAAAATATCAGCATTTTTATACGTAGGTATTTATATCTCCCCAAAACTTCAATGAGCTAAAAGCTTGAATAAAAATATTTTGTCCTCCCACCCAGAAAT